TCACCATCCGTAAACACCTCCTTTATCCTTCTCCCCCTAGACTGGAGTAGGGATGGGCACCACACACCTTTATCTTTGAGCCTCTCTGTATCCTCACTTGTAAAATGTTTGGGTTAGATTGGTGAACTCTAAGGTTTTTCCAGTTCTGTGGTTTCTGAAATGTTATGAAGACTGGGATATCAGGATTCTAATTTCCTGGGCTGTTACTAACTAGTTACAAAATTTACATAAATAATTCTCCCATGAAGGACTTTCCAAAGAGAGTAACTTTGAGGCCCAAATGAGGTAATGCAGAGACCACTAGGGACTGAGGAGCTAGTGTCAAAGTAGAAGGTGGTATTTTTCATTTGAGGCTCGGCGCCCGTGGGTGACGGTTGCCATCTGCCTCTCTATTTTCTCTCCACACTCTCCTCCCACTTGTCCCCGGGAGCTGGTGTTTTCTCTACCCACCAGTCACTCATTTACCTTTGCTGGAAATGCTGGCCTCCCACATTCTCACTGGGTGGTCAGGAGTTGGACTAATGTTGATGATTAGCAGGCTTAAAATAATTTCAGATTTGTCTTAATTTGGATGGAGGTTGAACTGCATTATACCCCTGGCCCGTTTATGTAAAAGGACTTTTTGCCAATGATCTTAAAGCATATGAGTCAGAGATGGAACTTATTTATCTAGGAGCACGGTGTTTTAAAGTAGCTGGAGGGTCACCAGTTATATCCAACAGGACCGTGGCAGCAGAAGCAGAAACTATCCTTCTTTCGGACGCTGTGCCCTGTCTCCAAAGGAGGACCCTCCAGTTGACCCTTCAGCCTCTGCAGGATGCTCTAGAGAGGGATGGGGGCCATTTTCCTGACTTTTATCTACTTGTGGGGCTGGGACAGCCCTGAGTTTTGACAAATGACAAGATATTAGAAATGGCCACTTGCCTTGTCAGTTCCTCTTGGCCTGGGCATATAATTCGTTGAAGGCCAGGACTTGGTCAATTAGAGATTCTCAAGAAACAGAGAGTATTAGTTGCTAAGTTAAATGATACATTTGCGAGGGGAGCTACCAACCAGGCACACTCTGGGCTCTGATTGTGTCTAGCCAGCTCATCAGTTCCATAGAACTTGTATCTGACTGCTACTCTGCCAGGAGCTGTGTTTCTCTGGACCAGGATTCTAATTTCCTGGGCTGTTACTAAATATTGAAAAATTTGCGTAAATAATTCTCCTATCAAGGACTTGCCAAGAGAGTGACTGAATGCGTCACAACAACTATTTCTATATAAAATAAACTTCCTTCTCCGCCCAAACTTTCTCAAACTTGGCTGATTTCAGACCCTTCATTTTCCACAGTCTGGTCAGAGTGTGCTCTTTGGTTCTCATCAGTTTGGTTCTGGCCTTTTAAAATGAACAGGTAGTTTGCATATATACATTAAACATAGGAATAAACAGCTAAGTGTTTTTTGTCTTTTCATGTCTATGTGTGCAACATGTATGCCTGTTTGTGTGTGTGCGTGCGTGCCTGTGTGTGTGTGTGTGTGTGTGTGTGTGTGTGTGTGTGTGTGTGTGTGTGTGTAGATTTGACGTTGATGTTGGGAGTCTAATTTGGTCATTTCTCCATTTTATTCCCTGAATCAGAGTCTCTCACTTGAACCCAGAGTTCACTGATACAACTAGTCTAGCTAGCCGGTTTGCCCTGGAATTCCCTGGGTCTGCTTTCAGAGTGCTTGGAATACAGGCGGGCCGCCCTCTCCACTATGGACATGAGTGTTGGGGCTCAGAACTCTGGTTTCCACGTTTGCTGCTTACATGGGAAGCTCTTTAACCACGCAGCCTGAAACAGCTAAGTTCCACTGGCCCTTACCTGCTAATACCCGTGCTTTATTCCTATTACCTCATCAGCTCTCCCAACAACCGAGATGGGCGTTATTACTGTTATCCCCCCCTGCCTTTTAAAATAAATGCAGCTGTTATCTGAGGCTGAGACAGATGGAATAGCTGCAGGCTGCCTCCCTGTAGCTTCTTTTCTGCAAACATCATTAAAAAACACTCGTAGGCAACTTATAATCTCTCAGTTTGAATCGTGGGTGATCTCCTTAGGGTTCCTTTAGCAAAGAGTTCTTGCTTAGCCACTCCAACAATTCCCCCAATCTGAGACCCCACTAGAGTCCCTGTGCTCTCTTCTGCTCCCTCCTGCCTCTTCCTTTTAACACAGCCGGGTGGGTCAGGCATGCCCAAGGCCTCGAAGGAACGGGGGCAACAATTCCTCATTTGGTTCAGTTTTATGGAATTTGGAAGCAGCTCCCAGCATGAAGATTTGGGGGTGTTTTTTTTTTTGGTGTCTTTTCCTTGTAGTGTGCTTGGAAGAAAAAGCTGAGGACCTTGGGGAGAAAGGAGTTGTGTTTGGTTCTGTGGGTCTGGCTAGGGGGCTGGCTGGCTGTGCCCATGTGCACACAGGGAGACAATGGACATACTGAGTGAGAATGTGGCCCGTGGACCCTTGAGCCCCCGAGGTCAGATTGTGTCCCCTGAAACAAAGCTCTGGGCTTTGCCTTTATTCACGTGTTCCGTTCTGCCCTGGTAACCTTAGGCAGAACTCTGTGTATACCCCGGGAAAGGGGCTCTCAAACAGCTTGGTTCTCTGCAGCATGCTCGACCATGATGTCCCTGCAGCATCCGGCCTGAGGCACAGCCTTGGATGTTGCCTGGTGCACAGTCCTTATGTGAGAGCCTCAGCAGTGGGCTTCCAGGGTTTAAGAGTGAGTCAGCTTGGCAACTCAGCCCTTGGGACAGTTCCCCAGAGGTGACTATTGGCCAAAGTGGAGAAAGCAGCCAACCAGATCCCATTAGGCCCATTTAAATGCTGCCTCTGGATAGGAATGAGCTCTAGGAAGCATCCCCTGCAGGGCTTATGTGATCTGCAGGTGAAGCCAAGTTTCCAGAGGCGCTTTTCGCCCACACCTGTAGAGGTTACTAGAGGAGGTCTGGCCTGTGGGGAGACACCTGGCAGGTGGTGTTGGTATAACCGAGAACAAAATCACTGCTGTGACCACTCCATACCAGCCTTCACCACATGCCAGGTGTAAGACTACCTCACCAGGGCCCTCCAGCTTAGACAGTTATTATCCACATTAGATAGAGGAGGCTCAAAGAACTACTAATGCGCCTTATCTGTAACTGGCTAGACTAGGATTCAATCCCTGGCCTGTCTTGATTTCTTTCTATTCCAACATTAACGGCATTGGGAAGTAGTGCTGCCAAGCCTGGGATGTTGATGGTGGGTGAGCATCTTGGGTGTCACTGTGTTAGAAGGTGAAGAAGGAGCAGAGTGTGGCTTGGGTTCTGTGCAGAGATGTGAGCCAGTGCTCCATTTGACAGCAACCATGTTACTGGTAGAAACAAGAGAATGTTTTATTCTACCCTAATATCGATGGACAGACTCAGGGTGAAACAACTTGCCTTGTGGGGGGGAATGACAGTGTTTGATACCCACACAAGAGTACAATACTTTCCATAGCCTTTTTTTTTGTCTTTGTGATAACTTCTGGCTCCCACCCAGGCTGCCAGATTGCTGTTTCACTGTCTCTTTCTACACCTCTCTGCTCAATTTGTATGCAGTTACTGCCTGGCCTCAATTCCAGTATGTCCTTGATCCCAGGAGGCACATTTTTTCACACTCTAATATCTTTGCCATTGGCACACATCTTGTCATTGAGATATACACTTAATGCGGTATGGCTTTTTAAATGAATGTTGCATTTCAGAGTCGATGGGAGGCCAAGAATGGAGGAAATATGAGAATCCATGCTTTCATTCAACCCATCAGTCACCTGCAATAGATGTCAGCATCATACTAGATTCTGGGGACTCTGAAATAATTACTTCGCCGTCCTTGAAGTTATAATCTAGAGTGGCAAGATGGACCTGCCCGATCAATAATGGCTCAAGCTCTCTAGCTTGCTGTGGGAAGGGTTCTGAATTTGGGGAAGGGTTTGGAGAAACTGAGACTGGCTTTGAGGAGAAGGTGTATCATGAAGGGGAGCAGAAGGATTAGGAGAAGGTTGGGAATAGGTGGCCTGAGATGGTTTGTGGATAAACTGAATGGTTGGGGCCAAGAAAGGCTCAGAACCAAGAGAAGTGAGACTGCATTTGGGAACATCAAAGGGCCCCCTGTGGCCAAAGTGGAGGGTGTTTGTGGAGCCTTGGGTGTAAAAATGACACCAGGAGGATGGGCAGGGACAGATTGTTGGGGACCTTTAAGTATCATGGAAATTAGTTTAATCTTTATCTTGAGTCCAAAAGCGAACCATTGAAGAGTTTTACACAAGGCAATCTGTCTTGATAGGTGTTTAGTAATTCTTCAGAGAAAACAGATGGGAAGAGGGCAGTGGGTAGGATGGGAGAAGGTGGGTAAGGTAACAGTTATTGGAGGAGAAAGAAAGCTACTCTGGAAGACTAAAAGAAAGCCTCACTTTAATTAACCATTCCCAGACAGCCAGCTCTGATCCTGCAGGCTTGAAGACCACCCTGGGGTACAGCTGGACTTCTAGCAGAAGATCCTGCAGGCCCAAGGAGGCTCTGGCCTTGTCTCAGGAGAGCTGCGTTCTCACCAGGCAGGCTTATGTGGCTTATGTCACTGTGTTGCTTGTGAGAAAAACTTAGCATTTCTCTCTACTTGTTCAAGAAGGGTCCTGTCAATCCCTAGTTGGTGACATTTCCACAGATACTTGCTGAATTAGTTCGCAGCTCAGACTGTTTTACAGTTGGATGGGAGCATATGCCAGCTCTGGGGGAAAAGTACAGGTATTGGGGTAATACGTCACAGGGTAACCACAGTGGGCCTTTCCCCATAGGCTCTCAGATGTTCACCTGACTGTTCTACCTGTGAGAGACGTCCTGGGACAGATGTGGGAGTGGAGGGAGATTTTCTGATGTCCAGGTGCCTGGAAAAGGGACGAGGGATGACTGAATGTGACCCGAGACTTACGACTCTCCTCCTTGTCCACTTCTCTGCACAGGTGCAGTGCCATACTTACACGGGGTACTGCTGGTGTGTCACCCCAGACGGGAAGCCCATCAGTGGCTCTTCTGTGCAGAATAAAACTCCTGTATGTTCAGGTACCGTAGGAAAGGGTGGGAGGAATGAAAAGGGTTGGAGAGAGACTTGCTGGTTGGGCTCCGAATCTTCCTGGCAAACCTTTAAAGGGTGGTGTGCTAAAGGAACCCTTTTCCAGATCAGAAGGGTTCCACTCTACACTTGCTCCATAGTCAACTTGATGAAGAGTGACTGCGTATGTGTATGTTTATTTATTTTTGAGTTTATGTTTCTGGTCCATGCTCTATTCCTAAGCATTGGTTACCTACAGTCCCTTAGAGGTGAGATGGCATACATCTAGGATTTTGTTGTTGTTTGCTGCCTGTAGTGGTCCTTGAAGTGCATTATTGGTATTGATTTTAAAGTTGCATGAGGGTTCAACACCAAAGGCTTCAATGATCGATTAGTGATGTCTGTCACGGACACCGGCAAGGAGAGTATTAGCTTCTCTTCCACACCTTTGCCATCCTTGAGTATTGTAACGAACAATAATGGAAGGCTGTTTTAACAGTGAACCGTATGTCTGCCTGGTCATCTGTAGTGCCTGGGCGATTAAAAGGACTCTAAGTGTCAAAACTTCTCCTTCAATATTCTGACTAGTCGGTGCTAGATCTGGAATGGACCTGAAATCCTTTGTTTTTATGAAGCTCTTCTGATAATTAGACAAGTTTGATAACGATCCATTGGGTTTTTATCCATAGCAAAGATCGTGTTTTTCTACTCCCAACTTTGTAAGCTTACAGAGTCTGCCATTAGGTCAGTTTTGTGGGATTGTGCGATATGGATTCACACAAGCCCCGTGTTACCCCCTCATTAGTAACTCCCTTAAGGTCTCCCTCAGAACAGCCAGTCTCAACCCATCCACTGTGTATAGGGGTTGCATTTTTACTTAGTCCCACTTTTTAGTGCAAGTGAAAAAATAAAATGTTATGCTAAAACCTGCTTCCAAAGGTCTTCAGTCTATGTTAACTTTTCCCTGGTTTTTAAATTTGTAAAATAAAATTTGTTCCCCCTTTTTAAAACAAAACAAAACAAAACTGGCCCTTCTGTTTAAAAAGGAAAGTAAGTGGCATGGGTCATAAGAATGTATGTAAGAATGTATGTTAGGGATCAAAACTTACAGGCCAAAAGGGAAGTTTACTTTATTTGTGGTTTACACAGAAACTGGAAACCTTAATTGGGTTAGGGTGAGGAGGGGCAGGACTTGGCCCTCCTTGCAAATGACCTGGAACACTTCATTTAAAGCAAAAAAATGCATTAGACACAAGCCCCACTGCAGGGTAAGATAACAGAATCCTGAGAGAACTAGTGTATAGAGAAGGAGTATAATGTGGGTTAGGAAAGTTTTCTCTTATGGGCAGGATCTCCACAGAGGTCTTTCTATGGAGTAGGTTTTTCCCTGCACATGTGGCATTAGGCTTTAAGGAGAAGGCAGGTGCCACAGAGCCAGGTCTAGATGATGGGTTCATGTGGCATCCCAGAAGAGATAGGGCAAATGTTTGGCCAGCGTGCAGGTTGCCCCCTCCTTGAAGAACAGGCTGTGTCTAGAAAATTGTTTCCATGCCTCAGACTGTTTGGCCCATTCAGTACAATTGGGCCAACAATTTTCTACTTAACGCAGACGGAAAATCACCGATTTCCTGCCCTGACCAGCAAGGGATGTCAATCATTGCGTTTTCAGTAAGAGGGGGTTTCTTTTCAATTGGCCCTGGTGACTGGATATGGGTCAGAGCATGGAGCTGGTGAGAAGAGGGGGTGTGCAGGGGTGTATGAGTGGGGGACAAATATCAGAATGTTTGAGTTACATGGATGTGGAGTTTTATAAAAACCCGGTCAAGATTGGTTCCAGGGAACCTGGAAATCATAGTTCATCTCAAAACAGTCTGGGTTATCAGTGACATTGATGTTAAACAAACCCCACTCGACATGCATGTGCACACCAACTTTGTATATAATATCCCCGGTGTGTATACAATACATATATACATGACCATGTACTTATAACATCAGGCTCTGCCAAGTGTTTGACGGAAACCAACCACAGTACGATCTGAATGTTGTGCTTCTGTCTCTCTTGCCCAAGGTCCAGTCACCGACAAGCCTTTGAGCCAGGGTAATTCAGGAAGAAAAGGTGAGTGGAGTTTTATGCTTCATCTGAACGTTTGCTTTGAAAGCTAGTTTGAGCAGGGGTTCTTAGCTGAGAGAGAGGGAGCCTGGGATGAAAACTAAGCTTGCTTCCTGTTTCCAGTTTCCTGAAGCACTAGATGGAAGGATGATGGCCCAGACAGTGGTGATGACCCAGCTGTCATTGTTTCTGAGGAAGGAGCAAAAGTGTGGGGCACAGAGTTGGGTAGGGACCTTTATGTGAGCCCCATGGATCTGTCTCTGCTCTCTGGGAAGTTCAGTTGGCCAACTACCAACATGTCTAGTGTTTACTCGAAGAGGAGGATTAAGGTAGGGTACTCCAGTCTACCCTTGGCCCTACCTGTTTATAGACTCATTTGAGTGTCCTCCCCTGCCATTTTCCTTGAGAGTGTGTTCTAGTGCATCTAGAGTCCCTTCTTGAAGGCCAGGCTGACGTCATGGTATGCGGCCAGTGCCGTGGCCCTGAAATTCTCAACCTTGTTGCTTTGATACCAAGAGGGCGGTGGTGTGTACACAGGGGTGGAGGAGAGACATGTCCCATGAGTGTCTGCTGCCAGGCCTTGTCACCCTCAAAGCGTCACATAGTTTGTGTGATACTTACCATTTGGCTTCCATAGCAAACTGAAGGTTTTGATTCTTTTGTTTAAACCTAGAACAACACTAAACAGCAGATTAAACACTACTATTACAAGTCAAGAGACAGACAGACAGAGACTGTGGCAGAGAGGGTAACGCTCTCTATTTTAAACTTTTTTAAACCCACATTTTTCTTTCCAGTCTGCTTCTCCTATTTTACATAGCTGATATTTGTCTGAGGGCTGTTTAGTGGACCCTGGCATGCAGCACTGGTCCCTGCAGTATGCTGCCTACCCTTTCCGGCTTGGAAGACAGTCCAAGACCTAGGGCACACAACTGCTACCTCCCGGGACAGCACACACAATGACCTGGAAAGCAGCTAGCTAGCCATTTTGTCACATGCACAGGTGTGGCCGAGCTTCCCTCTACCTCAGGCTGAATCTGAGGCTTCCCATCTCACCTCGGCTCTGGAAACTGCATGCTCATAAGAGTCCCCGGTGGGGAGGGTACTGTGAATCAGCGTAAAGTTCACTGTGGGCCACACACATACACACAGCCACATGGAGACCGGGGCAGCCACTGGCTTCTGCCACCGCACTGAGGATGAGAGTGGAGGATCAGAGAAGCTGTTTTCCTGAGATGTGGTCCTCAGTGGAAAGTGGTATCACCACTGTCCAAAAGAGTGGGCCCGCAGGTGGGTTCACTTCTCTTCCCCTGAAGAAGGAAGGTGGGAAGAAGGGAGCAGATACCTTTCCAGGTCCTTCCCAGAGCTGAGGACGCAGCCAGGAATGCTATGACAGGAAAGTGGAGGTGAGGGCAGGGGTGTCCTCTGTAGAGGCCTGAAGTCACCAGGGCTGTCGGTGGCATGTGCCTGGAGGGTTTGGGAATAGAATCTGCTTTCATTCTGCTCGCGGTGGCATGAGGAGCCTCAGGGGCCTCACCTTTGCTTCTGAGGACCTCTCGGCAGAGAAAAACTGTTGACAGTCATGTATAACTGACCACCCATCAAAACTGATCCTTCCCATCAGAAGGAATGGGGGGGGGGGGCGTGCAAGGTGCTTATAAAGCATGCTGTTCAGAAAGGCTGGCTGGGAGATTTGCATTCTTTTCTGGATAGCAAAGGGTTCTCCGAGCTGCTGTAGCCTTGTCCCTAATGGGTAACAATGCTGGATAGCTCATGGTCACCCTGGCTCCTATTGAGCCAGCTGGAAGAGGGCAGGTGGACTGCAGATGGGATTTCAGTAGATAGCAGTGAACACCATTTGTCCCCTCTTAGACCAAGGTCAGCCAGCTGATCTGGAGGCAGGCTCAGGAGCCTGACTCCTGCAGGGTAATACAAAGAATGAAGCCTCCCCCTAAAACAGTGGTTCTCAACCTTCCTAATGCTGCAACCCTTTAATCCAGGTCCTCCTGTCGTGGTGACTCCCAACCATAAAATTATTTCGTTGCTGCTTCATAACTGTAATTTTGTTATGAATGGTAATATAAATATCTGATATACAGGATATCTGATATGTGACACCCCCCCCAAAGGGGTCACGACCCACAGGTTGAGAATTACTGCCCTAGTGGGAGAAGTTACTTTCAGCTCCAAGCTCTTTGCTTTCTTGCTGTGATGGCTGGCTTATTCCTCTGGCAGGGTTCCCTGGAGGCAAAGGACAGGGGCGAGTGGTGGGTGGTGTGTGTTTGGTCTCACTCTCCCCTGGAGATCTGAACTCTGCCCAGGGGTCTCATTTTCCCTCCACTTGGAGGATCAATTTAGGTACAGGATCCTCTTTTCTTTGTCTGCCATAGGCATAGAGAGAAGGCAAGCTTGGGGCCACCTGTAGGAAAGGCCACTTGAAGTCACACCTGCCTGGGAAGGCAGAGTTTGAAAGGGGACAGAGTGTGAGAGGGCATTGGTAATATCCTGTGTCGACCTGCCTGCCGAGTTCCTCTTTCAGCTTCACTTAGGAGAGGAATGTGCTCTGGAGGGCAGCAGGTGGGGCCACACAAAGGCCCCTTGTCTGAGCTCATGCCCACATGTGGCTTCTCCCAGAAGGCATCTCTCTAGAGTTGGGGCTTGCCAGCCAAATGATGTTGGCCTGGCCCCTGGGAGTGCAAGGAATATGGTTGGAAAGGAGGCGTGGCTATAGGTCTGTGGGTGTGAGGGATGTGGGTGCAAGGCAGGGATGGGACCCAGCTTCTCTCTTCCCCGAACTCTCTTGCCTTCTTGAATATGCCCCACTGATGGGCTGGGAAAGATCAGTTCTCTCTGCCTGGAAGGAATGAAAAGATGTATTGTGCAGACCGACCGCTCCGGAGTCTGGTCGCCAGCCAGGAATTAGGCCTTGGAAGGAGAAAGGCAGAGTGCAGGGAGCTGGGGGTGGAAGACCAGAGAGATAGCAGCATGAGGGAGGGAGGGAGGGAGGGCAGGCAGCAGCAGGTCACTGCTGCTTGGCCAGGCTGGGGGGTCCGGGTTCACAGGTGTGGGGCCCGAGGGAAGAAGTGGGGGAGGGGGGCATGTTATCTTCCCCAGATGCGCGTGCTCAAGGAGGGGAGGAGGGTCACAACTTCAGACTCTAGACTTAATCCCCTGGAATGTCCTCTCTTCTCTCTGTTCTTTGTGCCCCTTGCGTTTAACGGACTCCTTTATGGGCACATGTGTGGTAATTAACACATGCAGGGTAGGTCCTGAGCCATGTGTTTGAGTTTCAAATATCCATTGATCTGGGGCAATTCCATCCTGCTGCCCCCTCCTCTTCTCCTCTGGTCCTGGTCCTTGAAGACAGATGGGGGTGGGGTGTGGGTCTAGGGGGTTGGTGCACATGTGCTTTCACGGGTGTTTTATTGATGCCATGGAGGCGTACCTGGGGAAAGGAAGAGGACCCCAGGCAGTCCCTCTAAGCCCTGACCGCTCTACTGCTTAAACAGTTGAAGGCTGCAGGGGCTGAGAGAGGGACTGGTTTTGGGTTTTCATTGATGTAGTCCAAGGGGAAGTGGCTGGGAAGCAGGCTGTGTTTCCTGGCCATTGACTGATCCAGAGCAGACTGTGTTGAAGCCTGTGGGCTTTCCTGAGCGATCTCCTTTGGGGCTGAGATGTGGAGAACTCTAGGTGAGCTTGCAGGATAACACATGGGGGCTGCCTGGCTGCAGGACCGGTGAGGTACCAGGGTGACAATTCCCAATCTCTCAGAGGGGACTGGGGAGTGATAAAGAACGGTGGGTGGGAGGACCCCAGACAGCATGTACAAGGTGGTTTTTAGCGGTTCTTCCGAGTGTCCCCCCGAAGACTCAGAATCACAGAGTCCTTAGGGCTGAGGCTGTCACAAACGGTAAGTGAAAACCGAGGGTCACCAGAGAAAGCTTTCTGAAGTTTTCCCGTTTTCCTGTTAAGAGGTCTGGGAGTTTGCTGTTTAAAGATAAAGTGAGAAAAGCAAAACCGTGAAGAGTCTCTGCTTAAATTTTCCTTTAAGAACTTCTGTGTTTATCCAGCCAGTCTCAGAATAGGGTAGACCTCCCAAAGTCCAACTCACCTTTGATTGGCAGAGAGTTCTTTTTAATCCCTTACTGGCCCCTCCACAGTGTGTGGCTTGAGTAAGGAGTGAGTCACCTTCATTTCCCCAAGGTCTCTCTGTCTATGTCTCTATTTTTAGATGCTCTGTGGAGTCTGGTCTGCAGAATAGTGCCATCCTGGGACCTGTGCCCCTCAAGAGGTGGATCAGAACGTATTGATGGGTGATTTAGGGCAGGGGTGATAGATAGTCCCAGGTAAAAGGGACTCTGCAATCTTCACCCTTGGCCTCACAGTTGGAGGCAAGGGCAGTGAGCATACCTGAAGGAGGTGTGCTCCAGGGCCCTGAGCCAGGCTGAGGTGTACCAAGTTGGCTGTCCAGGGATACCCTACAGATGAAGCATCATCCTTGTGCATGTGATTTTAACCTGTACCGCTTTTGAGTGGAGACAAGCAATGGGTGATCTGTGTACACCCACTCTATACTGTCCTGCTGAGCAGAAGCATACCTCCACATCTCCAGTGCAGGGGAAGCGGCTCTTGGCTCTTCATATGCGTGTTGCTGCTGTGTTCTGTGCTCTATGCTGCCTTGGCAGAGCTGGGGATGTTAAATACCAGCTGTGTAGAGCTCAGTTTCAAATGGCGTGCACAAGTGTGCACGGGTGTTCATGCACATACAATGTCTGTCTCCTTTCTACAGCTGCCTGCTTTTTTTCCTGCTTGGCCCCAGTCTCAGTCTCCTCCCATATCAGCCCTTACTCCAGAAGGCTGAAGGAGAGCTTATGTGTGAGGAGTACTAGACTGAGCCTGAATCCCTCTCATATCACATCTCCAAGGACTGGAAAGGAAATGGGATTTAAGGATCCAGAAGTTCTTCACAATCAAATGAGTGTTTGAGTCATTGGTGATATTAGTAA